GTTGTTCTCGGCCGAGAGCCGGCCAACAGTCATTGCCTTGCTTCTGTATGAGATTGTTTGACCGGAAAGGGGGCCGGGCGGGGGCGGCGCTTGGGGGTGGGGGGGGCGGTCAGGGAGCCCTGGACTGCAGTTCCAGCTGCAAAGACGGGGGTCTCTTCCCAAGGGTGTCGCCCTCTTGCTCGGACCAGAAGTGCACGGAGAGAACGCTGCTGATGATCGTTTCGAAGTCAGTGTATGATTAGCATCGTGAGCTTATGTTGGCAGCTGCTTCGCAGAGACTCCCACGCGGGTGAGGACACGGACCCTCGGCCTCCGGGCGGGCACGACTATAACTCATCGGACCGGATGACGTGGAACAGGGTGACGTTGTAGAGGATCTGGTGGCCGTTGTTCCAGGCGTACAGGGCGCGGTCCTTGGGGTTGTAATCCAACATGGAGATGTGGGAGTACTTGTTCTGGAAGGGGATGTCGATGTACTCGTAGGTGGAGGCGTTGGTCTGGTACGCGTAGTGGACCTTGGTGCCCCCCGAGTAGCCGTTGGTGACGTAGAGGGTCCCGCAGATGATGAAGGCCTCGCCGGCGCTGCGCTTGGGGTAGCTCGTGTTCCAGGTCTGTAGCACCTGCAGGGACACGGGGTCCAGCTTGCTGATCACGATGTTGCCGGCGTTCTGGTTGGTGGCGTAGACGGCCCACAGCCCGTTCTCGTCCACCATGAGGTCGATGTCCGAGTGGCCGCCCCAGGCATAGTGGTACATGTTGTTGTACCCGGCGTAGTCCAGGCTGCGTGTCTTGAGGATGGCCTCCGTCTTCAGGTCGAACCTGATGACGATGTGGCTTTGGAACTTGTTGAAGTAGATGGAGCCATTGTAGACCACCTGCCCCGTGCCGGACCAGGGGTGCGGGAGGCGGTGCGACGTGAAATTGTCCGTGGTCATGAAGTCGGCCATGGACTTGTACTCGCGGACGAAGCGGTTGTTGTGGTAGCCGTCCATGTACCAAACCTGCGGAGAGGGCACACCCGTCAGCCGCTGGGGGTGGGGTGGGGGGAGGGCTCCCCCCTCGGACCAACTCCCCCCCCCCCCACGCCCCCGACTCCGGGTTCAATCTACCGGGCATCGGGCCGGCACCGAGAGAACCAGGGAGGCCACACGGGGTCCCGTCATGTCCCCCCTCCGAGCCAGCAGGGCGCGTGTCCAAGGGCCCAGGGCTGCTCCCCGCCTGGAGAGAAGGGTCCGGTTCAGAGAAGGGCTGGGGGAGCACACCCTACAGAGGGGGCTTGGGGGCCGCCGGCCCCGAAATGGAGCCCTCTGCTCGGGCTGTGTCCACTGCTCCGTCTCCAGCCGGGTACACAGCAGGTGTTCACACTCACGGGAGGAAGGAAGGGACTCCATCAGGGTACGAACCCCCAAGCCAGCGAGACGGCGCCGGATGAGAACGCCCGCAACCGCCAGCGGCTCCTGTGGCGTGGGGGCCCATCGCCAAGGGCGCCACGGAGGGCCAGCCCCCGAGAGCCAGGGGCCGCCGAACACGGGACCTCTCGCCCCTCCAGGCCGTCACGGCTGCCCTGCCTGCAGGGCAGGAAGGCACCGATTTGGCGTTTGGGGCGCCGCGCGTGGGATCTCTCTGTCACACCCGACGCGGGGGATTTTTCTCCAGGAAGAATGTGGGCTTCGTGCAGGGCCCCCGGTGTCACAAGCCACCACGATAACAAACCCAGTCGTGGCCCCCATTTGGGGCCACAGTGGAAGAGATTTCCGATTATCGCTTAAATGCCAGTTGACTCGAAAACGGTCTAGACTTTGTACAAAACGCTTTAGTCATTTTCCACCAATACGGGAGCAAATTAGAAAGCAATGCAGTCAGTCAGAGGAAAATCTGCCGGGCTAATGCCACCCCCAGTGCATCTGTCTGGCAATGAGACAGCTGCTTTATCCATCAAGGGCTCTGCCGGCTGCAGGAGAGATTAAGGGTGTGGGGCTTTCAGACATGGCATTACACACGCGTTAAAAAATTTACAAAAAATCATAACCTCGCTCCTGAGGCATCCATTCGGATGCTTAGAGGCAGGTGCGCTTTCTGTTTTTAATGAGATAAACACACACACACACACACACACACACACAGACACGCACACACATATGCCAAAAAACCCGGGTCTCGTCTGGAGGCTTTTATTACCCTTAGCCCACCCCCCGCAGACCAGCCCACGGTGATGTGGGTCTGGGATCAGAACAGGCAAGTGCCGTGAATCAAGGGGTTTCGGAGGCCGTGACTGCGCGGCCGAGGGGTGGCCCTCCTGCCTCCGCCTGGCTCTCTCCTGAGACGGGGAGCTCACTACTGATTCCAAGATCAGGCTCCAATGACACCCCCCCAAACCCTCTCCTGACCCGTGCCTGCAGGAACTGCCTCTCTCCCTCTCTGAATGAGCACAGACATCTCCTCCCCCACGAGTGGGCCTGTGACCCTAGAGACCCCCAGGGTCCGGGGCCTCTTTGCCGTGGGCAGAGATGGGTGAAACGGGCATCGAACTGCTCAGATTTGTAAACTGCCTTTTCTTTCCGGAAATTAGCAAATCGGATGCAGGGTACCATGCTTTTGGAAAATGCAATTTAGGCTGGGAGGGAACATCAGCACAAGGGGCTAAATGTTTAACCACAAAGAGACAAGACACTCTATGCAGAAAGAGGCACATGATCACAGCCCCACGGGCCCCGAGAGGAGGGGTCCCTGCCTTCACAGAGGGCACCTCTCCTCACTCTCCTCCCCCGACCGGAATGCCTGTTCCCTCCTTTCCACGTCCCCAGGCTCACACGGAATCCCGACTCTCCGGCCTCGTCCTGAACCCCCACAGCTGAGCCCCTAGAGCCTGGAACCCGGCTGCCCTTCGAGCCCCGGGGCACGCCCACTCCCCAGAAAGATCACACCGGACTCCAGGGATGCAGCCAGGCACGCGTGTTGGTTAAAGCTTCCGGGTGAGGTCGGACCCTCCGGCTTGGAGCCCCCGCTGCTTTGCCATGGACCTGACCCTGCCTGGCTCCTCCCGGGACTCTCAGCCCGGGCTCCTCGCCTCCTGGCCCCACCACTCCCACATGACTGGTTTCCACCATGGCCCCAGCACCAAGATTTTTACGACCCATCTCTGGATTAGACAAACCAAGTGGAAAACCATTACCCCAGCTACACAGGGCGAGTGTGGGGCCAGACCGTCTCCCCGTGTCCCCTCCCGGGCAGCCCAGGGCCCGGCCCAGAGCAGATAAGCAGGGGGGTCCCTTTGAGAAACCGACTGTTCGAGAGTTCTGGCTCCCAGCCCAGGTCCAAGGCCAGGGCTCCCTCCCGCAAGGCTGAGCTTCTGGAACGTGTGGGGCGGCCGCGAAAGGGTGGCCCAGGCCCCAGCTCCCGGCTGGAGGCCAGACCCTACCAGATGTTTGGGCACTTGGCATTCACAGCCGGGTGGGGGCGGGAGACCTTTTTCATCTCTGGGCACTTGTGCTTCCCGGAAGGACTCCTCTTCCGCCTGAGACCCAAGGCTGGCCACCCAGGTAAAGGCCCAGGTCAGCACTGCCGTGTCTAGAAGCCCGGGCACAGGTCTGTCTTCACACACACGGGACTCTGTGGCCGGGACTGGCCCCCTGCCGCTTCTGGTTCTCACGCCCACCCGAGTGCCGAGAGGGCCGTTACCCCCATTCAGACAGAAAGCTGAGGCCAGAGGGGTCTGGTGGGTCTGCCAGTGGGCAGAAGCTATGCCCACACCAGGTGGCCAGGCCCCGGGCTCCCAGCCAGGAGGGGCTCTGCCCCGGGGATGGGGGTGCCCCTGACATCCGGGGGGGGAGAGGCCAGGGGGCTGTGGACCACCCTCCTCCGTACAGAGTGATGCTGTCCCCAGTGTCAGCCGGCGCGGCCGATGAGCCACGGGGGTGCTGGCCTGGCCCGGAACCGGGCATTATGCCCGCAGGGCGCAAGGTCTTGCCCTGGAGCCCGGAAATGCCCCTGGCTGAAGACCACCGAAACCCTCCCTTCCCCTCCTAGGAAGAGGGCCGCACACCTGTGTGGTGCATGGCAAGCGGGTGTGGGCGACACCCAGGCCCGAGGTTTCTTTTGCTCCTGCTTAGGAGCCCAAGCAGACACGACTTTCCCTGGGCGAGGCCGGATTCAGAAACACACCCACCTTGACCTTCGTAGGCGCCAGTGATCTTGAGGAAGGGCCTTGTGGACGACCAGTACTCCTGGAGAGATCGTCCCAGATACAGGCGCGGACCCTCGGTCTCTGCCTGGCCTCAGTTTCCCCTTCACAGAACGCGGCATGGATGACGTGACCCCGAGTGCTCTCCACTGGCCGCCTACGTCAGAGGCTCAGAGGCGGCCGTGGCCACAGCAGGCTGCTTCAGAGCGCATCTCACGATGGAACCAGTGGCCTGTGCCCCCGTGCCCTCAGTTATGCCATCAGCTCCCTGCTGGCTCCGGGGCCTGATGCCGAGTGAACCCCCAGACCATCACTCTCCCCAGCTTCCGGCTGCCTCTGCACCTGCCAGGCCAAGTCCCTGGCTCCCGGGGACTGAGAGATGCTCCCACCGCGATGCCCTCTCCCCCCACTGATCAAGCTCACCGCCCAGAGGCCGTTTCCTACGCTCCCCCGGAACCCCCCGGGGCAGGGAGCTCTTAATTTTGTAGTGGGGTGAATGGCGGCCCCCCCAAAGATATGTCCACATTCAGGAACCTCTAAATGTGACCTTATTTGGAAAAGAGAGTTTTGCAGACATCGTTAAGGATCTCCAGGTGAGGGCCTCTGGGTTAAGGTGGGCCCTAAGTCCCATGACTGCTGTCCTAAGAAAACAGATGTAGACACAGAGGGACTGACGCCTGGGACATCCACGGCAGAAGCCAGCCAATAGGAAGGAAGGTGTTCTGGACTCTAGAAGGTTGGTCCACAGAGCAGGCAACAGGTCTCAGAATCAGGGCAAGGGGTCTCCTGGGGGTGGGGAGGCGGACACAGCCCGGCATCAGGGTTAAGAGCTTCTGGAGTCCCGGTGCCACCACAAGCCTGTGGGCCTGTCACAGCCGAGAGAAGGCAGCATCTGGACACAGTGGAAGGACACCAGAGGCCAGCATAGCACCTGGCACACAGCTGGTGCTTAATAAAGGAGTCAAGGAAGAACACAAAGGCGCCCTGAGCTAACCTTGTTCTAACACCTCAGCGCAAGGGCATCGGGAAGCAGCAGGCTGTGGCTTCTACTCTGCGGCCCCCCGTGG